CGGGGCCTGCTCGGTGCCCGACCGCTCAGCGCCCGCTCCTGCCGTGCCCTGAGCCGTGAGGCGGGCTGAGGCTGCCCCGCTACCCCCGCACACGGCAGTGCCCTCCTGGCCGCGCAGCCCTGTCCCGGCGAGGGCCCGCACCGAGCACCCTCGGCAGCATCTCCCGCTGGGGCCGCAGGCGAGCCGCTCCCCAGGAGAGCAACACGTGCCGTCCCCACAGCCGCGGTCCCAGAGCCGGGGCCGCTCCACGGGACGGCTTGTGGGGCTTCTGGAGACAGCCTGAAAACAGCGAGCAGGAATGCCAGGCGAAGCAGCCGTCCCGTTTCGCTGCGGGGATCGCGCTCCCCTCGCAGCAACATTAAACTTTTACCAAAGTATCGCTATGCGCCCCTTTTTTGATGGTCCGCTTCCCTCACAGCCCACCTTACCGAAAGCGACCCTCTGGCAAGCGTCCCGCTTCCTCTGTTATCAATTAAACACCCTCGAAGAGCCGCAGGTGCCCTCGTTACCTGTTGCTATGAGGCCCCTGCCCTCTTATCGAGGGATGAAGGTAATTAAATGTGTTTTCATGGTGTGGTCATACTGTGCTGGTGGGAGGTGTAAACCCCGTGCGGCTGCGGGCAGGGAGCAAGGGGAGAGGGGGAAGGTTTGCGCAGGACAGCCGTGCCCGGCGTCGCTGCCCAAGCTCAGAGCGAAGCCAGCGGGGCAGGGAGAGCCAAAGCCCGGGCAGGGCAGCAATCCTGTCATTAGGGACCACACGCACTAAGTGCTATCCTGCAACTACCTCTTAGAGAACGGCAGGGAATTATCATTATTCTTTTCGGGCAGGCATTTCCAATTTGGAGTTAATTGACGCGGTTCTTCATTTGAGTAATGACCAAAAGAAAGCCAAGCTTTACTTGAGAAACTTTAGAGGTTTTTCTTTCCCCCCACCTCCCCCTTTCTTTCTTTTTGATTTAAGAGAGAAGTGAGCTAACAGAACCCCGCTTTCCTGAAGGTGGAACTGGTCTAGTGGTCCATCGGGAGCGGGAAGAAGCCGCGAGCGCGGTGCTGAGGTGGGATGCGCATGGCCGCATCCATCCGAGCTGGACTCCCCCCGAACCAGTCCCGCCACTCCCAAATCCCGAGGGGGAAGAGCCCACTCATCTCATAAGCCTCTGCCGTGAGCATCCCTCATGAGAGAAATCAGAGGATGGTGAGGAACGGCACAAACAGTTTAGAAACCTGCGGCTGGCGCTTGAGGAGCGTGGGGCAGAGCTGGAACATGCGGTTGCGTGAAACGCTGCCCTGGGAACGGGAGGAAAACTTGAGCGCAGCCTGTGCCCTGAGTTAACTAAAGCCAATTACTTGTCTCCATATAAAAGGTTTTGCGTATGGTTACAGCTGAGGAAATACGAGAAGCTGATGAGTCTGTTTTGGTTATGATTTAATCAAATAAATTAAAGGAGAAGGGAAAGGATACGCCCAATCTGGGACTTAAAAAAAAAAAAAAAAAAAAGCATGAGTTTTTTGGGACGCTCTCTGTCCAAAGCCTTTCCTGTTGTACAGAGCAAAGCGAGGCTCTTGGAGTCTACTCATCTCATTACTGCTGGGTGTTTGGGGTTTCTCTTTTCCTCCCAATGGAATAACCTTTCATAAACAATTGCAATTTCGGGGGGGAAAAGGTGAGTAGGTGCCAAACCAAGCTGGGGGTGGGGCAGAATTTTGCGTTTCAAGCAATTTAGCAGACAGCAATTCTGCTTACAGCAGAGAGGTAGGTGGATACTTGAAAACATCTTCCACCGGGGCGTCCTACTTTGGCAATTCTAATTAAAACGAGGTTTAAAAGATGCAAAGAAAGAGCAAGCCTCTTGCTTTATTTCCAATGGGCGTGGGGGATACCGTCAGGCACAAAGAGTGCTTCCAGCTTGTTCTAACGTGCACCTTTGTTTAAAAGAAAAAAAATAATCAAGCTCGTCCTCTGATTTCAGCTAATGTATTTTTAACTGGATTTCTTTCCTCTTCTTTGTGTGATCTGATACCTACCGTGTAGCCCTGGCCCACTTTCAGCCCTGCGGGTGCCCTGCATTGTGTCCGTGTCTGAAAGAAAAGGGAAAAGTCTTCCATCTCACACTCTTTTGCCCTGTACCTGTGCTTGGGAATTGAATCGTGTCCAAGCTAGTGGTCAGCAAAACCCGCATCCTATTCCCCTTCTCGCTGCCTAACCCGAGAGGAGACGCGACTTTGTAGGTGCAGCCTGGCTGGCGTGGCTGTGACCGTCCAGCACTTCGGATCAATAAAGCAGCCAGTTTTCTGACGTTTCTTTTCCACGGCTGCTTATTGAAAAGGAGCCTTTACCGCCACCTATAAATAGCGCTGCATCCAAGTCAATCTTTCTTTCTTTTTTTTTTTTTTTTTAATTTTTTTTTCTCTCTACCTAAAGTAGCAAAGTTCTAACCAAGATACCTCAAGTTCTCCTTGCTGCTGAGCGAGGGCTCGCCCCGGAGGGGCTGCGCTGGGGGTTCTGGCTCCAAAGGCGGCTGCGCTGCCGCCTCCAAAGGGAGCGGGGGCTCCGGCGGAGCCAGCCCCGGTCCCGCACCGGCCGCCTTTGAACTTTGTTCTCAGGCATGGCAGGGAGAGCAGCGAATACCGATACTCACCGAGCTGTTTGGCTTTCCAGATGTAACCCCGTCTCTCCCTCTTCTTTGTGTAAAAATGAGCAGAGGTTACATCCCGGGCACGCGGTATAATGCCCTGGATAACCCCGACCCTGTCTGTTAATTTAATGCTACGCTAACCTCAGAGTGTGCGATTGGAGCTCGAGTGCTGGGTTAGAAAAGCGCCTCTCCACGCTGGAAACAAATTCGCGTTCTCTCTCCACACCCACCCCCTTTCCACGCGGAGTCTCCCAGCCCTGCATTCCTGCACAAACCAGGACACCTACCTTTCCGAGAGCCACGTTCCCTAGCACAGATTGCATTTTTTGCCCGCTCTGGAAACAACTGTGCAATTCCCCAGCCCCACGTGCCGTGCCCTGCCTGCTGCGTGGGGCTTGGATTCTCGCACTGTGCCACTGCCGGGAGAGCGCCGCAGCTCAGGGAAGGAAGGAGCTGCCTGTCTCCCCCCGTGCCCCTTGCTGGGGAAGGGGCGGCAGGGGCGAGGGGCCGGGGCTCTCTCTCTCTCTCTCTCTCTCTCTCTCCCCCCACCTAAAATCGCAGGCTCAGCCCGCGGGACTGGGCTGCTCTGCGGGCGCTTTCCACCTGCCTGCACAGCGGGCTGGGAGCTCACGGACAGTCATTGCTGTACGCGGAGCGATCAAACCCCCTTATCCCCGCGTGATCTCTTCCTCTCTCTCTCTCTCTCTCTCTCTCTTTCTCTCTCTCTTTATTTATTTATTTATTTTTAATTCCCTTTCAATTTCCCCAAATGAGGTTTGATGAATACAGCTCGTTGTCCGTGTTGATAGCAGGGTAATAATTGTCAGGGGGTCTGAGCGCTCCAGGAAAAGGAAAGCGGAGGAAGAGGGAGGGATAGAGCCTCCGCTATCTCGCTGTTACTAATTCCCAGCCGGCTCGGACTCAGGGGACAAGGCGATCGCTTAACAAACCCTCCTCCTCTCCTTTCACCACTCCTTCCTTCCTTCCTTCCTCTTCGCCGGCACATTTGCTCCCCCGCATTTGCCCACGTTTCATTCCTCCTCTTCATGAGGAATAAACCGTGCAAACTCGAACTAAAAAGAAAAAAACAAAGGGGAAAAAAAAAAAAAAAAAAAAGGCAAGATGGGTGGGAAGGATACAGGAGGGGAATAAAAAAAAAACAAGAAAGGGGAGGGAGGAGGAAAAGGACAGAAAGTGTCTGTGCCTGATCGCTGACCATCTGTGCAAAAGGTGATCATTGTTAGCTACTCACATGGCTGGTGGCAGAGCAGCTCTTAGCAATTAATAAGTCTCTCAGCTTGAGCTCTTCTTTCCCCTTTTGGATGGCAGCGCTCTCTGCGTGGCTCGCTCTCACTCACGCACACACAAACCCGATCAGATGCTTCAGGACCGGCCACTTTGCGAGGGCAACAACACGGGAGGGTTTGTATTACTCCAGGTTCGTGTGTGTAGCCTATAAATAGCGAACTTTTTGATGGAATCAGCTAACAAATGAGAGAAGAAGGCGTAATTTTGCGCAGGGAGCCCCCCTTTCTCTTTGCAAGATTAAAACCCCCCAGGCAGCGCACAGAGCTAAAGTTGTGGGTGTGTAGAAAGGAATTTCACTTTATTGTGATCGTGCACGAGATTTGTTTGTTTATTTTGGGGGTTTCTCTTGTTCCTCCCCCCCACCGCCACCCCCCACCAACCTAGACTTTACATCCTCCTCCCTGCCTTCCCAGCTAGGGGAAGGAACTGACCCGTGTTAGCACCGACTTTAACTCCAAGTTGGGAACACACTACGCATTTGAGGTTTTTCTTTTTCTTTTGGCGGTGGTGCCTGTTGTTGGTTTGGTTAGGTTTGCTTTTATTTATTTATTTAATTTTTTTTCGGGAGGTGGGGGGAAGATGTCCACGAGATACCTCGTGGAAGTGCAGGAGGCGGGCGGGCAGGCTTCCCTGAACGTGCCCTCATTTTGAAAGCAAGTGAAGAACAGAAAGAAAACAGGTCGGAATTACTGGGG